AGGGCCCATCTGGGCCCAAAGATGTTGCTTGTTCTCACTCTTGATTGAGTTACATGAGGCCCATCCCATGGTGAGTGATGCTTCGTCCGGCTGGCTGTAAATTCTACCTTTTACACCTCTCCTAAAGGACACCATGGAAACCTCTGCCAATCACCATCACAAACAGCTACTTCACTGCTTTCAGCAAACACCACGCTGACCTCACCTTTGGTGACCTGGCAAGGAGCTGCGCAGACCCAGGTGTAATACGGCTGCCTGGGCATGCCTCTGTCACATTGAAGTTGGGGTGGCCACATACACAGTGTCTCCCGCCCCCCCCCCCTCCCAATGGCTGCTTTTCAGCTCCTCTCCTCTCTTCCAGACCTTCTGCAGGTGAGTTAATTAAACCAGCTTAGACCCCCTGGGCCCTGCCGTTTAGTGAGCCAAATGCAGAGGTGACCTGTAAACGCCTGAGTGTCACATGCTGCGACATGGGCCTGGGTCTAAGTGGAAGGGAGTAGTTTTCACTCCCGTGCAAAGGGGCCAGAGGAAAGTGTAAGTGACAGGAGCTCTGACCCTCTCTGGACTCTCCTGCACTCACTCTGCCCTGGGCCCACAAACTCTACATCTCATCTGCTGTTGGAATGGGCTCCGAATAGAGGGAGTGTCCATGGCCACTTGTCACTGTGGGCCTGTCTATGCCACAAGCACAACTGGCTCATGACACCCTCGGCCAGCCCCATGCAAACAGCGCTGAGCTGGGCTGCACAGCAGCTTGTTTATTTCACAACAGGGCGATGTGTCAGCCACATAGTGTGTCACACCTACCAGCCCACCCAGCTGGGCCTGCCGGTGCATGCTGGGAAAATCTGGGCAGTTGCCCCAGGGTACCTGGGGGGGAGGGGAGGAGTGTCTGGAGGCCATGCAGGCATTGGCACCCATAGTGCAGTGCGTGCTGCAGTGCCAGCACCTGCTGAGCTGCTCACAGCTGGGGGCCACCTCCCAGCCTGGGCGAACCCCTTTGTTGGCATGGTTACTATCCCTGCCCCTGGTGTGTGTGGTCTCCAGCCATGTGGGACACAAGAGTCTGAGTCCCACTAGTTACCCTGGTTCCCGCACATGGGGCCAGATGGGGCTCGTGACGGGCCCGTGGCCCTTTGCTCCCTGCCAGCCAAGGTCTGCACCAAGAACTGCTGCATCTGTCACCTTGCCCCGGACCCCGTCCCCTTCTGCCAGTCTGCCGGGGACTTGCAGTGGGGACGCGGATCCGGGGGAGGCAGAGGTGGGAACATTTTTCCAAGGGAAGGATTTTCCATTGAGACAAAGACATTAAAAAAAAAGAAAGAAACAAGGTCCTTTGGGGAGCAGGATCCAGGAGATTGGGGGGAGCTGGACTGGGGGGAGCAGAGATGGGGGGAGCGGGGGGGGGGGGGCGGGGGGGGGGGGGAGGCGGGAGCTGGGGGGGGGGGGTGGGGGGGGAGCTGGGTTGGGGGCGCTGGGCCGGGGATTTTCCTCCGAACTTTCCCGCAGAGCCAAACCACGAGCGCACCCCCGGGCCCGCGCGGTCTTTACCCGCCTTTCCCCTGCTCGGTCCCAGCACTCGGGGACGCTTTTCCTTCCTTCAATTGCCATATTTGGGTGTCGCATTCCCAAGATCGATTGGCCAATGTAAGTCACGTGGTGGTCCCCCAAAAAACAACTTTCATTTTCAATCCCCCCCCCAACACACTAACCGGTGCCCGATGCGCACAGCGCTCTGCCGCCAGCCTGCCCCGCCCGCGCCGGGGGATCCCCCCGGCTCCGCTGTGCCCGCTCCGCGCCCAGGCCGGGGACTGTCCGTACGAGGGAAGGCCGCAGGCGGGGCCCCGGAGAGCCCAGCCTGTGCCAGGCGCGCCCCGTCCGCCCGGCGGGCGCTCCCGCTGCCCACAGGCCAGTGGCTTCCCTTGCCCAGGCTGCGATGAGGCCCCGCCCGCCCCTAGCCCGGAGGGGCCGCGTGGCTGGGCTGGGGTCGCTGCGCACGGGGGCTGGGGACTGAGCAGGACCGGGCCTGGCTCTCCCCGAGGGCTCCAGACCCGCGGCGCCCCAGGACTGGCTCTCGGTCTCCAGCCCTGCACCAGCGGCCTTCCCGCTCCCCGAGCGCCCCGGCTTCCCTCGTCCCGCCCGCAGAGCCCCTGTCCTGCCCCGCCTGAGCCCAGGAGCACCGGGGCCCAGCCAGACCCTCCCCGCAGCGGGCAGCTCGCGAGCCGAGACCCGCCTGCACCCCGGGGAAGCACAGAACTCCCTCGCCCCCGAGGGAAGCCGACCCCGGGCCGGGAGCTGCCGGGCCCTACGGAGCCCCCTGTGCTGACAGCGACCCCTGTCCCCCCAGACACCTTCCGCGGTGCCAGGGGCGCGCACCTGCGTGGGGAGGAGCCGCCTGGCAGCGCGGCTGAGCAGGCGGCGCAGGAGCGGGGCGAGGGACGCTAGATGGCAGCAGGAGCCGGCGCTACCGCCAGCCGGGGCCCCGCCGAGAGGCGAGCGAGCGCCCGGCAGGAGAACCGCTGCACCTGGCCTGAGAGATGAGCCCAAGGTAGGTGCGGGGGCCGCGGAGCCGGGACAGCGCAGGGGCAGGTGACCGGCCCAGGCCGCGACGGGGACATCAGCGGGGGGCTCGGGAGCCCGACACCGCCGGGAGCCACATTCGAGAGTAAAGGGGGAGCCCAGCCCCAGCCCCGTCCCCTTCCCCCTGCGGGACCCGGGACCCGCTCCCCGGCGCC